TTAGAAAAAAGTATTTGCATGGCTATTGCTTGAATTTATTTATTCATAATTCATTACAAAAATGTTTTCATTCAAATATGGAATACTTTTATAACGGCACGTTGTAATTTTAAGTATGCACAAATTAAGACGTAACGGTATATCATACGGAAAGTACACTTTTAGGTTAATTAAATTGGAAAATCTTTGAGTTATTTTTTATACAGTATATAAATATAAATATGTTGGGGACATTAACACACAGCACCATCTAGTTCCATAGTAAGCTACGAGGCTTGTCTTATGAATACCAGATAGTTGATACACTATACATATATAACTTTTAAATACATATATATTATAAATATATAAATAATAAATTCACTTACTGCAATTCAAAAACTTCATCTTGGTCTCGATAAAATGTCCCAGACCTGAGAAGAATTACCGAAAAAAGTTAACATATATGAAATCTATACTTAATATTATAAATGTGAAAGTGTGTTTGTTTGTTTTTTTGTTTGTTTGTTTGTTTGTCCTTCTTTCACGTCAAAATGGAGTGACGGATTGTCGTGATTTTTTGTGTGGAGATAGTTGGAGGGCTGGAGAATGACATAGGCTACTTTTTACCGCGGGAGATTATCTAATTCCCACGGGAAAACTCGTCATAATACAATGCAAAAAAATATTTATGATCAGAATTACTTGAAAGTTTGTTTTAATACTTTTCAATAAAATTAAATAAATACATATTTAAGCATTTTTCGAAATACATCCTATAAGGTGGTAAAATAGGGGATGAAAGTTTGTATGAAACTACGTTTTTAGAGATATTTTTTGTAGTTTTAGAGCGAGCGAAGCCGCGGGTTCTGCTAGTTTTTATATAAAATAACTTTTATCCATTATTAAAATAGGCTGAAAATGATTTTCTCAGGTCTCTCTAAAACTGTAATATTATTACAAATTACAATAGTGCAAAATATTAAGTAAAAAATAAATATTTTATTTAATATTGATTTAATTGTTATTATATATTGTTATATATATATATATATATATATATATATATATATATATATATATATGTATGTCAGTGCTTTTTTGATTTTTAATTGTGCTAAGTAATAGTTGTAAGGAATAAGTTTGTATATTATGTCATTTTATATAAGAAATGATAAGAGTTAAAACATCAAGGGCCATTTAGCATGATCAGTCGAAAACTTGAAAGTTTAGTTACATAGTTACATCTGTTATGTAAATGCAAATTTACATAGACTTCTCTTACAAATTTCACTTTTTATTTGTTTAAATTATCTAAAATCGAACGTTTCATTACAAAAACCTGTTACGAACATTCACCGTGGTTTGAGAATATGTTATTTTTCTTTTTTTTATACTACTTTAAATTCATTTATAAAATCCTCTAAACTGTATCATATATTATGTCCCTAAAAGTTAGTTACAAATGATTATTATAATATAGGCAGTGGTAGCCCAGTGGTGACGTGCTCGCTTGGGAAACCTAGAGCAGCGGGTTCAAATCGCGGGTCTCGCACCTCTGATATTTTCATGTACGAATCATTTTCAACATGATTACAAGATATGAGAAGTCCGCCAACCCGCATTTGGCCAGCGTGGTGGACTATGGACTGATTCCCCTCGTACTGAAGGGAGGCCCGTGCCCAGCAGTGGGACGTTAAAAAGGGCCGAATACAATACAATTATGATATAAATAATATAATTCTTTTAAAATGTGCTTTATTTCCTAAGTGATATTGCTGAAGTATTTCTGTTGAGCTGACACGCTTAGAATAGACATGTTAATGTTATGTATTTTTCAGCTTTAGTAGTAGTGAAATTCAGCTAATAAAAGAAAGTTTTTTAAAATATGAAAAGAGTTCAAGCAAAAGTTTGCATAGTATTTAATTTTTAGAAGACTGCAGATTATAATAGAAAAATAAGGTGTAAAAATATTTTTTTATAACTTAATTATTCTAATTGCTATATTAAAGTAATAAATTATAAAAACGTGGGCCGTATTTAGAAAGGGACGGCACTGGTGTGAAGTTGAACAGCCAAAAAACGTTTTTCACGATGATTGATGATTACGAAATTTCGGAAAATTTTATTATTATATTTTTAAATGCTTATTCTATTATAAATTAAAATATTGTTAGTGTTAGTGTTTGGTGGATTATAATTGTTTAGCGGAAATTTAAAATAGGTAGGTACTACATGCTAATGTGAGAAAATATTACATGTCAATGTATAATAAACAGGCTGACGAGTGACTTCATTCAGCCTACACAAATGGAATGATTTAAAAAAAAACACTTTTTTCGGCCTCATAATCGGTAACATCTACGACATTGTTCTGCTAATTACCATCAGCGATCATCAGTTATGTAGGAATGGGAGAGCGAGGCCGCTGCCCGCAGTCGTTACACACGCGCAATTCGACATGGTCAACTGTTCTAACAGTACATTTGGTGACCGTCAAGCAGATGGTTTGACATTTACTTTTTAATTTATGGCACAGATTATGAATTATCGGAACAAGTTTCGTGTATGAAAGTGAATTAACATTTTCGTATCGTGCTGTGAGAGTGAATGTGAAATTATGTATTGCGTAAGCGATATTTTGTGTATTAATGAACATTATGGTTTATATAGTGTTTTTAGAAGATATTGTGCAAATATTTGAGTATAAATGGCTGCTATTTTTTTTAATTGTATACGATTTGTAATATAACATAACAGACATACATATGTAATATTTATACGTACATATATAAATTAGGTAAGCAGAGGTAAATTTAATCAGAGTGCGCATTATGGACATTTTTATAGTATACAATCATTTTTATTGATGTTTTTAACTAATAAACCAAACGCCAAATTAACTAATCTTAATCTTAGTTAGAAAAACTAAATGGTACTCATTATCCAATTCCATTTTATTTATATTTCAAATTTCCTTTCATAAAATATTTACTTAAATACGGAAATGTCTCTGTAAAATGAAATATTTAACTTTATTAAGAATTTTTATACTCACATTTCGCGCATACGTTATTTTACAATTTTAAATAATTTTCTTATCAGATACATGCATAATCTAATGTAATGGAAATTAACTTTCGTTTTATTCATAGACGTCTTTATGTATGAGCATCTTAATTTTAAGTTTATGTAATAACATATGATTTAGAGATTGTGCAGATACCGTTAGTTCTAACATTATTTATTTTCCATATGTAATTCGTGTAATATTTGTGAGATTCATTGAATATTTTTTAATGTTTTTATTTTCTAACATGTGATAAACGGTAAATGCAAAAAAAATATTAAAAAAAATACAAAAATAAGTAAATGTTGGCAGAGTAAATTAAGACGTTAGTCATTAAAGATAAACAAATAAAAATTACATGAATTGGCGGGAACTTATAATTTTCATATCAACATTTAATAAAAAGCATTTTTGTTACATGACATTGGTAAAGGAATGAGTCACAAATAAAAAATATTAATTAATATTCATTAATGTTTGCGATTGTGCAATTTTAGTTTAGGGGCGGTAAGTTATAATTAATGCAATAATTTACATGTAGCATGAGATAGAAAGTAAATCGCTGGACTGGTACCATCGTGTAGTGATTACACGCTCACTGAGCAGGGGTTGAATACTATGTTTAGTGACAGAAAGGCGAGCGCATTTTTTTTAAATTAATTGTTTATGGCTTGTTTTTCTTTACATTTTAATTTTTTTGTTTTAATAACAATATAACGGTTTTGTTTGGCATTACAATTATTTTAATTACAATTGATAAACTTAATCATAAATTGAAAATAATAAATAATAGTATGATTATTATTATTATTAAATCCATTTTGATTTACCAAGATTTTTAAGAAATAAGGTATTGGGATTTAATACAATATGTATAGCATAATATACATAATATGTATATAATACATATATTCACACTTCTTTGTATGTTGTTAAAGCAATATTCTTTTAATAATAACAGTAATGGTTTTTATTAGTGACTAGCATTGCCCGCGGCTCCGCCCGCGTTCAGATGACCAAAAACCAAATTCTTAGGATTTACATTTTAGTACACTCTTACATTGCAGTTTTTGTATTTTTTCTCAGAAATGAGGTATTTTCCCGCGGTAAAAAGTATCCTATATGTTGACCCGGATAACCAGCTACCATCACACCAAATTTCATCAAAATCTCTCCGATGGTTTTTCTGTGATGCGAGAACAGACAGACAGACAAAAATTCTAAAATCTCTGTATCGATAATAATGTTTAATTCAATAAGATTTTCCAAAAAAATATCTAATGTACAGACTCGGCTTAGTTACAATTTTATTATATATGTATAGATAGATATGCGAAGTTTTTCTTCTTTTTAAATATATGCATATGTATGTATGTATCAATCTCAATGATTACAAATCGTTTATTCAATAATATAATTGTAAGATTTTGTTAACATATAAATATATTGATAAAAAGCAGCCATTTATGTTTTTATTTTCAGTCCAGCGTGTCGTTATTTATATTCAAGAAGAATATCTTTACTGTTATCTAGTTTTTTATTAACTGCCAATCACGCGATTTATAAAGTTTTTTAGATACACAATTCATGCTTTGTACTAATTAAAAATTAATAATTTCCAGTATATTTTAAATGACATCTTAATTTTTATTCGTAAGTACAATTATTGCGAAAATATACGTAATTTGCTTTCAAATGTCAGCGACCCAAAAAATATTTTGTTTATACGCCCGCTCTAAATAATTAATCTGGCATTAACTAAGTTAACAGTGAAGATATCTTCCACAGTCGAGATGTTTCGCACCTGACACGACTTATGTAACATCATTGTATCTATGAGAAGACGGAAGTTACCGAATAAACCTCATTTCTAATTACGTACAACATTACCACTTATGCATTCATATTCATTGTGCTACTGTGAGTGCTCTTAATCATTCGTATAAATTAAATGACGAATAAGGAGAAAAATGGCAAAATGCCAAAGGAAAGATCGAAAGTAGACAGTTGCAACGCGATAGCAAGGATTTTGAAGGACTTTTGTAGCTGTTCAGAAAACGCTGCTTGGTCGCCTGATATGACATCGGAGAGAAAAGGGCCGTTTTTGAAAAGTGAGCTTACAAACATGTCAGGCATGCGCCGGCGCATCATGACATTAGCGAAGAGAAAAAATAAAAATGTGTCACCCGAACCCAAATTAAGTCGTGATACATTTGACAAGTCTGAAACTCTTACATCGAACCTAATAAATACAACAGTAAGCTCCCATAATAGCACCATAAGGAGAAATATTGATAATTTTCTGATTTCTAGACGAATGGTCGCCTTAGATGAAGATTTGTATGAAAAACCTATTCAAGTTCAAGTTAAAAACTCATCGTGTGGTGATAACTGGTCTTTGAGTAAAGCTTGGAAAAACAATAATTTGGATTTCTTTAGTCGATCACCAAGTTCAGACTCTAATCGATTAATTGAAAGGAAAGCCACTTTGGAGAGAATTGATGAGGTGCCAAAAAGGAAAAAGCGGGATAGAAAATTAAAAGAACAAATAAGGTATGATAGAAATATCAAACGTCATATAAGAATACGGGTTATGTTGTCTCTGAGGATGCGACGATACGTAAAAAAGAGGTTAAGAAAACAAAACATGCCCGCAAATCAAACAGCCCACGTTCCTCCTAGAAAGTTTATCCGTGGCGCCCCAGCGGTTTCAAGCTTTGGTACAAGGTCGTACAGAAGTGTTATGACTGATAAGAATAGTGATGGGACAGTGTTGTTCGATATTCATGAAGCTAGAAATTCTACGTTAGAATTGTGCCACGATTATAGTGAGGACCTCGATACATTGGATATCGCCTTACGCGCCGGAAATTTTAGGTAATTTGTTTTTATTAGTATTAGTGTTACTACAAAAAAAAATGATTTAAATTAAAAAAAACCCATCTTGGACCGATTTTCATCAAACATAGCTAAGAACACTCCCGACTAATTCACCTTTCAAATAAAAAAAAAAACAAAACCAAAATCGGTTCAGCCGTTCGGGAGCTACGATGCCACAGACAGACACACATACTCACAGATATGTCAAACTTATGACACCCCGTCGTTTTTGCGCCGGGGGTTAAAAAATTGAGGTTAAGAGAATATGTAGTAAATAAATCTATTTAGTTACAAAGGCAAAATGCAAATGTGCTTAAAACAAGTATGTTATAATTGCTAATGATATGTTTAAAATACTGTTAGTCATTGAACTTATGGGGCATCAACAATGGCTCGTCACGGTGTCTACCTGCGTATCCGGAGTCATGTTTTGCTTAAATATTAACCTAATTTTTTTTTATAATGTTATGATACTGGAATATTTGATATTTAAAATAATAATTTTAATTATTACTACTAATGTAAGTTAATAGATTTACCCGTTTCTTAGTTTGTTTTTTATTATTTTATAATTACTAGCATTGTCCGCGGCTCCGCCCGCGTTCAGATGAACATATTCTTAGGTTTTACATATTCATCAAAATTGGTTGAGCGGTTTTTTCGTGATGCGGTCACAGACAGGCAGATAGATAAAAATTCTAAAAATTATAGATTCGGCCTCTGTATCGATAATAATGTTTATTTCAATAAGATTTTTCAATAAATATCTAATGCACAGATTCGGTTTAGTTACAATTTTAATATATGTATAGATTATGACATACGGACCTACCGTCTATGTTTGTTCGTAAAATTTTTTGCTCTAGAATTTTGATATAACATATTTTTTCCCATTACTTCTTCATTGTAAAAAAACTTATTCTACTTCCCACACTCTTGCAGAAATTAATATACATATGGGTTACATAAAATAGTTTTTTAAAGAGTTTAGCTTCGATAAAATCTCTTTTTAATTATCTAAATTAAAAACTTTTTTTTTAAATAATGTAAATGAGTTATTTAAATAAAATAAAAATGTAAAACTTTATTTACGTTACGTTACGTTGTATGAGATATTTTACCGCAGTAAAAAGTATCTTGTAAATAAATAAATATGTTGAGACATTAACACACAGCACCATCTAGTTCCACGGTAAGCTACGATGTGTTATGGATACCAGATAGTTGATACACTACACTTATACAATTTTAAATACATACATATTATAAATATAAATACCCATGATTGGAGTACAAACATTCGTGCTCATGACACAAATGAATGCCCCCAGCGGGACTCAAACCCGCGACCGCTGGCACAGCAAGTACTACAAACTGAGCCAAACGTGTCGACTCTATATATTGAGCTATCATCATACTATCATCAAACCAAAGTTCATCAAAATCTGTCCAGTGGCTTTCTAGTGAGGTGTTCTCTGACAGACAGACGGACAGACAGACTTACGGACGGAATGACAGACAGACAGACAAGTGATAAAAATATTTTATTATCACTCGTCTTTTTTTATTTATTTATAGAACATATTTATACAACATATTTTAATACGGCTATCACCAAATTTCAAAATTTTACTAAATTTACTTTCGGATTTTTGATAATTAAATATTCAATTTGAGAGCTTAAGTTTTCCATTTTATTTAAGTTAGTGACCAGACAGACCAGAGGTTTTGATAGAAATTTATGTAATAATGGTCATATTAATTTTAATAAAACTACGTATTTCTGTGGTGGCTGACAACGAAAGAGGGTTTATTCAGAAACATAAATTCTTATATACCGTTTATCCAGAGATAATACATGAAAATCACATTATAACAACAGATATGATAAGGGTGTTTATTAAATGTTACCATTTAATAATATATTTCTAACAAATTTGTGTCCGTTAACATGTTGCGTCTTATTGGTATATGTAGAGAAAATGTCTTTTAAATGGCAGATTATAAACAGATAGCTAAAAAAAAATTAATATTTCGTTTGGGCGAATAAACATGCAAGTTCAATGTACAAAAATTAATTTCAAAACGGACAAACATTAATTCGTTTTTATAATTAAATATTTTAAATCAAATATTTTTAAAATGGGTGTATAATGTACTTTATTTGTACATCTGTGTTACTATCAATAATATTCGTATTGTTCGAGAAAAAACACAATCCACACACCATCCAAAATACACCAAACAAGGTAAGTGAATATCGCAACGCGGAGCGGTGTTTGTGTAAAAAAAATCATGTTCATTTTATTGTTTTGATAAACAAATCAAAATTCAAGCAACTCCAAATATTACCGCGATATTTCATAGCTTAATTATAAGATTTTCTCGTTGATTTCGGAATATTCTTTACTAGCTTTCGTCTCTATTGAAAAACAGAAACAAATCTATCCCACGGGAACTGTAAATTTTTACAGGATAAAAAGTAACGTATGTGCTATTTTAGACTATACTCTATCTCTGTGCCAAATTTCATCCAGATTCATTCGGCTGTTCTGGCGTGATTGAGAACAAACATCCATCCAAATTTTCAAATTTACAATATTTATAGGATATTAAATCAAACATAACGGAAGTAATCATAATTTTAATTTAAATATCTGATCTAATAGCCAGATTTATGGATAATGTATCAACTGTAGGCATCTTAAATGTAACTACTATATTTCTTTTAGGAAAAATCGTAGCCAGATTTTCTCTTGAATCCAATCTCAAATATTACTATTGATATAGTAGCAAACGAACGGAAACACTTTTTTAATTAAAATAATATTAAGAACAAGGATATTTTAGATAAAAACCACACCAATTAGATTATTAGATTTCGGATAAGATCAATTTAGTATGAACACATATGTATATTACAACTGTATATATATTATAACTGTATAGTCTAAGTAAATATTTTGAATCTTCATACAATCTCAGTGAATAATTAAAATGTGTAGATTAATAAGATATGTTAGCATTTTTTTTAAATATGCAACATTATTCGACGTATTTAATGTTTATGACGTATGAATGTCTGTTTCCTTGCTGTATCAATAGCTCATTGATCATCATCAAAATGTGTGTTTTAGTACACCTGTAGTTCATTTTCATATATACATATTGTCCATTCCACATAATGAAATTGGAAGGTTTAAGACCTATTTTTCAAGCTATTTTTTAACCTATTTATAATTGTTTACTAATTATCGGATAGATCCACAAACTCTCTACGGCCTAACAGCAAGCTGTCTGTAGGATATTTTATTTTTAAACATGTATATAAAATCATATATGGCAAATATAGCAAAACTCATTTTGAGTTATTAACTGCTTAATAGTTATTAACAATAAAAAAAACAACTCTAACAATGTAAAAAATGCCATCTATGAATAAGCACTAGCTGCAAGATTGCATTTTTTTAAGTTATAGGTACTTCTTTTGGTACGTTTGGAAAGTTTTTGAGAGTAAAATTTTTGCATAGCGCGCGCACACCGACAGCCAAAAAGCGACATGATGAAGTTAGCTGGATTCCTTTTACAAACAGTATATGAGTGTTGTGACATACGGAATGAAAATATCTTTTGCTATTTTGATTCTGTTACGCCAAAGAAGTATAACTTTTTACGTGCCTACATAAGTACACACGTTTTTTTTATAAATTTATTGTGAGTTATTTTAAAACTAGATTGAACTTTTCACGTTATTTAATTTCTTTTAATAATTATATATATACATCAATAACAAATTCATCTCTCTAGTATTTTTCTTTTTTAATGTTTTTAGTAAATTAAAATTCCATAAAAAATACAATATACTTGTAGCGCCATCTAACGACTAGTAGAAAAACTGGAGTTAAGTATTGATCGCGGTTATTACAAGCATTACTCTAATGCTTAAACAGATGGCGCTGCTCCATACACAGCGCGTTGATGTCTTTTGTATGTCGTGGTATTTTACTAAGTATAATTTCAAAATATTATCATATCTATTTAATACATTTTACTAGTATCATAATTGAATTATGATTATTTTAAATTATGAAATATGTAATTACTGTTAAACATACAAAGTCTGCAATTTGATACATCACAAAGTTTAACTTCTTGTTGTTTGTTTGTACGAGCTAATTTCTGGAAACACCAAATCTATTACAAAAAACCTATTGTGTTATATATCCAATTTATTTAGGGAAATCATACGCTATCTTACATGTCTATGGAAGATGTTTTTACTATTATCGGTACTGAGTCATTAAGTAAGTTTGTCGAGCCTATATTATCTTATAATAGCTAACACAGTTCTAAGTTAAGAAAAATCAGGTAATTACTATAATAGGCATATAGCGTGTAACCTAATCTATACTCTAATATTATAAATGTGAAAGTCACTCTATTTATTATCTTTTTACGCTAAAAGCACTGGAGAAATATTGATAAAATTTGACAAGAAATAGATTAAATCCTGGGATAGAACTTAAGCTAATCTTGAATACCGCCTTTGGCTGATTATGCAAGCGAAGCCACAGGCAGAACTAATTAATAATATTTATGATATTTGTTACAGGAGCGGTCGGTTAGCTGTCGAGGGTTGGTGGTGCGGGCGCGCAATGGCCGGTGGGCGTGCAAACAACGGAGCCCTAGCGCTGCACTATGCAGCTGCTCGGGGCTGTCTAGATTGCGTGCGGTTGTTGGCGAATACTACACCGGATGTATCGTAAGTGTTTCACTATTATAATTCTAAATGTTTCATTTTAGATTGGATTGAAAATTCTTAATAAGGAAGCTTAGCTCTTTATTTTTATGAGATAGAGTCAATTCGAGACCACGAATAATGGATTTTTTTTGAAATATTGCATTGAAAACAAAATAAAGAATAAACATTTTTTTTACTGGTTATTAACTAGATTACCTTTACGTTAGAAACATTAAAAAAATTAAACCAGGTTACATTAATAAATGTGAAAGTTTGTAGATTTTTGTTATTCCTTAACACTTAAAATGCCGGACGGATTTGGATTTAATTAGGCATATGCGTTAGATAGACTATGACCTGGAGTAGCATAAAGGATTGATTAAATATCTAAGGAAGCTGTAGTGAGTTGCTAGTTCTCTAGATATTTAATAGATAAAGTTTCTGAAAAATCTACATTGCTAGTACATTTTAGTAATTTTAGCTCTTCTATCTTTATCAGATAAAGCTAACTCTGTAGGATAATGGAAATTTAAAGAATATTAGCTTGACAAATTTAAAGAATATTAGCTTGAAAGTTAACAAGCAACTCACCCTCGCTTTGTTCAGGATCTTCCCTAGGTACATTTTATTTTTTTGACCAGAATCCTAATTCTTTTACTGAAATAAAAGTAGCCTAATTTACTCCTTATACCATGACCTACCTGTCAGTGAAAATCCCGTCAAAATCGGCCCAGCCATTTCGGAGATTAGCCGGACAAATAGACAAACATTTAAAAAAATGTGTTTTTCTTATAAATACCGTATAAAATTCCATATGCATTTAGAAAAAAAACATTATTTTGACATAACAAACAGACACTTTAATTTTATTTATCTGTATAGATATACCAAATTACAGCATTATTAAATACATGAATGAAAATTACTTGCATTTCTGCAATCTCAAAGCTAGTTTCGTTGGTACAGTTTGGCTATTAGCTATTAACTAAGCTTGCTATTAGTACTGTTGACTGTTGCACCACGCTTGCTGGAACCCGAGGCATAACAAGTGTGTAATATTTTACGCCATGTTGTGGACTGCAAACACTTTGTTATTATAATTTATGTTGCGACAACATATCGTACCAGGCTACCTCAATACCGCTTGCGTATATTACATTTTAAATATGAGGACTATTTAATAATTAATTGCTCTACTCTAATTGATTGATTCAACGTATAACTGTTCGTTCGACATTTCATGGAATTGTGTGTTTAATTGAAAAGTTATATTGATTTTGAAATGACCTGAATAGTATTTTTTCTAGGTTATAAGGGACCTTTGAAGTCAAATCAAATTATTAAAAGAGAATCATGCAAATTATGATTGGCTAAGGTATCGTTTGATGTTATCGAATTAAGTGTCTCTTTCCTAATGAAATCAAGATTTAATATAAATAAATATGTTGGGATATTAACACACAGCACCATCTAGTTCCATGGTTAGCTACTTAGTAGCACTACTACTACTACTACTACGTAGTTAGAGGCTTGAGTTATGGGTACCAGATAGTTGATACACTACACATACATATTATAAATATAAACCATCCATGACTGGAGTACAAACATTCTTGCTCATCACACAAATGAATGACCCCAACGGGACTCAAACCCGCGACCGCTGGCGCAGCAAGTAGGGTTACTACAAACTGAGCCAAATGTGTCGTCAAAACAACAGAAACAATGAATCTAGGTATTATTATAATCAGAATGAATTGATACATTATTATTCATATTATGGCAATATGAAAAAAGCCAGCTTTCATTATATAAAAGTTTCTTAATGTATAAAAAAGCACCTAATACAGTAATATTAAAAAAAGAAATTTTAAAATAGCATTAGAAAATTACTATAATACATTTTCTAACACCAGATTACTAGATCGTTACAATGCTTTGGTCACAGCTCTAATAGATCCACTGAAGCGCAGTGATGTATATGGTCTTCTGGTCAGCATATTACATAGCTGTTTATAATGTGGCCTGCTATTAATGCTATAGATTTATAATAATTGTATTTTATATTATAACATATTATATAGAACTAGGTTGTCTCGTGGCTTCCATATACACTTGTAAGTCATGTAGTCCTGGGTTCGAAGCCTGAGTCATCTTGAGAGCCTGAGAGAGAGGGATAGTGAGAGAAAGAGAGAAATTAGATAATAAAAAAATTAAACCATATAGCCAATTTTCTTATAACTTCAAATCCAGCTCATTAACACAATACTGTTATAGATAGGTACGGTAGGTTGTATAGGTGTGTGTGTGTGTCCCAACGTGCGTTCACCTTGTCGTGGTGGGGGGCTCAGTAGTGCCCAGCAACCCAACCGGGCGCGAAGCCAAGAAACGCACAGGGAGGTTGCTCACTTCAGTGGGCGGTGGGAGGTGGCCCTCTTCGGAGGGCGGTGTACCATGCGGGTTGCTCCTGGTACTTCTCTGATAGCAGAGTGGACCTCGGAGCAACTCCATGGTTGTTGTGGTCTGTTTTGGCAGACCTGCCGTCGGGGCGTCGTAGTTGAATGCGTAAGCGATCCTGCGACGCCCCATTAAGACGGGGGAAGGTTTTGTTGGGTTTTAGTGGGTAGTACTGGCTTTGCCGGTGAGTCCCACACCTCGTGCGTAAAAGCATTTCCCAACGTTAAAGAAAAAAGGTGTGTGTGTGTGCGTGTGTGTGTGTGTGTGTGTGTGTATGTTTGCTATATATTTACGCCGAAACGACAGAACGGACTAAGAATAATTTTAGTACAAAGATTATGGCTTACATTTACACATTGGCTAGTGTAAGTAATATAATGCGCCAAAAGGTGCCACCGTTTGTCTACACTACTACATATTATAAAGAGGAAATATTTGTATTTTTGTATGTTTTAAACGAATAAACTCAAAAACTACTAGACCGATTAAGATGAAATTTGGTAAGGATATAGTTTGAGACCCTGGAAAGGACATAGAATATTTTTTATTCCGAAAATCATTCCTTAAAGGGGTGTAAATGGGGATGAAAGTTGTATGGGGAATCAACCTAGGGACGAACCTGAGCGAAGCGAGGGTGAGTCGATAGTATATTATAAAGACACAAAGTACCTAAAGACTCACCCGAGCGAAGCTAGAGTGAATCGCTAGTTTTATATAAGATTAATAATAATTTGATCACCCCTGGTTTGTATAGTCATAATAGTTGAAGTTTTTGTTTGTTTGTTGCCAATAACTGTCCAATCACGGAAGATAACGGTCTGTCAGTAACTGTCCGTAATATTCTTAGATATCAGCGATAATAGGTGCTATTATAGAAAATATATTGGCTCGTTAATATTTCATATCGCGTTACTCTCACGCAAGAAAACTTGTGTTGTGCATTGCGTGTGATATTTTGTTATTTAAAACTTATATCTGAAGTTAAATTTTAGTTTATATTAAATAACTTTAAAATATCTAATTTTAAAGTTTTTTTTTCATTAAATATTAACAGTAAGCCCCACATTTCGCTTGTACTAGGCAAAACAGCCAAAAGATATTTCATTCAGTTTTTGTTCGAAAATTTACTAGGAGTAAATACGCGCACAAAAGCCAGTAAGTTTTTCAACTAAAACACAAATGCCAGTAAATTTTTCGGTAGTTTTGCCTAGTAGAGATAGATTGTACCTAGTTTCAAGTATCTAATTGTTATCGATACTAATATTATAAAGAGGTAAAGTTTGCGAGTTTGTGAGGTTGTAAGGGTAATCTCTGGATCTACTGTCGCGATTTAGATGTTATTTGGTAATAAGAGAAATCATCCCTTAAAGGGGTGAAAATGGGGATGAAAGGTTGTATTGGGGCGAACCCGAGCGAAACGAGGGTGAGTCGCTAGTTGATAAATAATTTTTGAATATTCTATTGATTTTTTTATTTATTACACCAGTTAGTTATATAAGAACTTTTTTAAATAAATCTACTCACTTAAAGTAATAAAACAGTAGAGCTAACCAATTACGTAGATATTAAAAAAAAAACAATAGCAAAAATCTATGATTATTCAAAGTGAATTCTTTGCAAATTTCAATTTCCATTAAGCCGTCAAATAAAGAAACGCCTGCACCGGAGAAAGCGTTACCGAATTAATTGCGCTTATCCGAGATCGCAGATTGTGCATCTTCACACTCGAAGGATCGCTACCATGTACTAGACTGGCTGGAGATCAATCTATAATATACTAAATGTTTCTTCATCCGTTAGTTTATTGTGATGCTAATTTAATGTATATTTATAGCTTATTACTATGTACGTATATATATATATATATATATATAAAATATATGTATATATATATATAAAATATATGTATATATATACGAGTATATATAAAAAATGACATTTAGTAAATACTAACGATTCACCCTCGCTCCGCTTGGGTTCGTCCCTACTTACGTTTTAACGCTTAGTATAGATTTCTCAGATGATATTTTCCCGCAGTACTAAAGGGTATTCTGTATGTTGACACGGATAACCAGCTATCATCATAACAAATTTCGTCAAAATTCCTCCAGCGGGGTTTCCGTGATGCAGTCACAGACAGACAGACAAAAATTCTAAAAACTATAAATTCGGCCTCTGTGTCAATAATAATATCTATTTCAATAAGATTTTTCAAAAAATATTAAATGTACAGATTCAACTTAGTTATAATTTTATTATGTATATGTATAGATAAGCTTTTATGCGGAAAATAGGAATTGATAGCAAAATATTATAATATTATTATAATAAATTATTGGAAAAACCATAAAACTGTGATAATATTCCCTCCACGACCGCGGACACGCCAGCGTTACATTTAACATTAGATTTCTTAGAAATTTAATAAATTTCATAGAAATTTACCTGGAGGTGATATACTACGTATCGAGTTTTACATCAAGTGGATCTTATTTGCATAATTTATTATTATTATTATACTTTGCAGTGAATAACAAAACATTATAATTTTGTTCACTAAATATATCTTTTATATCTGTTGTTCTTTACACTGTAAGATATTATGGTAAAATCTGACTTTGATATTCAGACCGTGCAGTTAGATCTAATTCGTTAATTGAAATGAATGAAGTTATAATGAAGAGAGTTATAACCATCGATTAAGAATATTATATTTCAATTGTGAATTTTATAAATAGACTAACATTGTCCGCGGCTTCGCCCACGTTCAGGTGACCAAAAAACAAATTCTTAGGATTTACATATTAGTATACTCTTACATTGCAGTTTTTGTATTTTTTCTTAGAAATGAGACATTTTCCCGCGATAAAAAGTATTCTATATGTTGACCCGGATAACCAGCTATCACCATACCAAATTTCATCAAAATTCCTCCAGTGGTTTTTCCTGTGATGCGGTAACAGACAGGCAGAAAGATAAAAATTCTAGAAACTCTACATTCGGCCTCTTATCTTATCGCCTCTTATCTAATATATATTATTATCGATAATTATGTTTATTTCAATAAGATTTTCCAAATAATATTTAATGTACAGATTCGGCTTAGTTACAATTTTATTATATGTATGTATATGTGTATGTATGTGTGTGTAGATATAATAATAATAGAGTGACACGATATTATGTAAAATATGAAAAAAAATATTAAGCTGTTTGAAATGTCATAGAAGCCATATACTCGTAAATAACTGTTTTTTTAGTTCGAAGGAGATTGGAGAGTAGAGTGCTATGTTTTAGGAAATAATACAGATAAAATAATAGCTAACTTTCATTTTATTAGATAGTATTCATACATATTGAGCTTTTATGAATGGAAAGGGAAGATAGATATAGGAATTATTAGGCTTCTGTAATTAAGAATGACTTAAAGCTCTTTTTTGCGTTTTAATAAAGAGATTTAAAATAATAAAACTGTTTTTGGGCTTATATCACGAGCCCATTTTAAATATAAGCTAAAATTTGTATTTTGTAACAAATATTTTCCATAGTTTACTATACAATAAGTAAAAACTATATAAGATACAATATAAAGTAAGTAATATATATTAAGTATTATATTAGTACATATTATATTTCAAAAAGGCAGTGGTAGCCCTGTGGTAACGCGCTCGCTTGGGAAACCGAATGAAGTGAGTTCAAATCCCGGGTCTCGCACCTCTGATATTTTCATGTGCGAATCATTTCCAACATGATTACCACTTGTCTTAACGGTGAAGGAAAACATCGTAAGGAAAAATGCATGTCTGAGAGAACCTAGCAAGTTTTCAAAAGACATGTGAAGTCCGCCAACTCGCACTTGGCCAGCGTGGTGGACTATGGCCTGATTCCCCTCGTGCTGAAGGGAGGCCCGTGCCCAGCAGTGGAACGTTAAAAATCGACAATCTATTCATAATGGAATAGATTGCACAGTCGTGATTTCTGATTTCCTCTTAAAGTGATATATGTACAAGTAGTGCAAGTGTTGTAATATTAAACGATATGAAGAACAATACAGTCTAATGACAGTTCTATACATATAATAAAATTGTAACTAAGCTGAATCTGTACATTAGATTTTTAGGATTTTTTTCTGTCTGTCTGTTACCGCATCACAGAAAAACCACTGGAGAGATTTTGATGAAATTTGGTATGGTGATAGCTAGTTATTCGGGTCAACATATAGGATACTTTTTACTGCGGAAAAATATCTCATTTTTGAGAAAAAATACAGAAACTGTAATGTAAGAGTATACTAATATGTAACACCTAAGAATTTGTGTTTTGGTCATCTGGAGGAACCGCGGGCAATGCTACTGTTATTTAAATTAGGGTTTGATATATAAACATAAGAATTGATGCTTGTATTGATTATATTACACTCCTTGTGCGTCCTTAGGTGCCTAATAATAGGTTCTGTGTTGCTTCAGGTCATAGTCTATCTGTATACATCTAAATCCGTCTAGCCGTTTCAACATGAAGAAGTTACAAACATACACATATGCCTTGTGCATAACATAAAT